AGTTTTCTTCTCCCAGAGTCTGTATTGCCGAGGTCTTGCAATGTGCTTCTCATTTCTTTTGTAGGTGTGCCTTTTACTTCCTTTTAGAGAGATTTCAAGGATCTGTTTATTCTTGTGAAATTTCACTAGATATGTACTTTTTAAATTTGTTTACTTACTTGAACTTGCACAGACCTCTTTCTATTTGAAGATTTATTTTAGGATTATCTTCTTATTTCATTGTTTGTCCTCCATTTTTTTCTCCTTGTATCCTTGTTAATTGGGTGTTGGATGGAGTGTCTTTTATTTGCATTGCTGTTTTTTCTTTATCTCTGTTCTATCTTTTTTGGAGAATTGCTTTAGAGTTTTCTCCACCTCTTCAAAAACTTTAATATGTTTTCAAAGACATAAGTTTTCAAAGCTTTTCAGCTTTTTCATTTTTTAATAGTATTTTCTTTTATTTTTTATTTTTATTTTATTTGTTTATTTATTTTTTGAGTTGGAGTCTCACTCTGTCACCCAGACTGGAGTGCAGTGGCCGCTCCCGGCCACTGCAGCCTCGACCCGCTGGGCTCCGGCGATCCTTCCGCCTCAGCCTTCCGAGTAGCCGGAATTACAGGCATGCGCCACCACGCCCGGCTGATTTTTTGATTTATTGTAGAGATGAGGTCTCGCTGCCCAGGCGGGTCTTGAACCCGCGGGCTCAGGCAATCCACTCACCTCAGCCTCCCAAAGGCACGGGATTACAGGCTGAGCCACCGAGCCCGGCTGTAATTTCTTTTATAAGCTTTGTCTCTTTAGATATAAATTTGTACATGTGTTTACATTCTTTTTATTTTGAAATAATCACTAAGTTGTAGAAATGTTAGCTATACAGTAGAAAGCATTTTTTTGACTGATATCTTTCACTCAAATATTTTAATGTATGTGTTCTATAAAGCCAGACTTTTCCTACTTAATCGCAATGCACCCTTAAAATTTTAGAAATGAACATTGATTTATAATCTGTATGGACTCATGGTTTCTTATTTTATTCAGTGGAGTATATTTTGTTAACTGCATTATTTTGATGCTCACATTACCTTGATTTGGCCAGTAGAAGCCGGTTTGATTTCATATCTCTAGGTCGGTTTGCTATCCTTTCATTTCTTTGAGACCTGACTTGGTTTCTGTTACAACATGATGTTCCAGGCTTATCTTGTACTTTTCCTGCCTAACTCTGGAATTAACTGTTTTCCCAAAGATTTCTGGTTTCTTTTAGTAGAAAGTAATATTTAATATATCAGCCTTTGGTTTGTTTGTTGCTATTGAAATGTTGTTGGTTTCTGGTATAATACATTCAGTGGATAGAGGTAGAGAGGATAATATATAAATAAATATGTATCTGTGTATACATGCATTTATAGCTATGCTTATTTCTTTGTGTTTGTATTGAAACACTTAAGTTCGTGCTGATGTTTTCCATTACAATTCAGTATCACAGGATTTAAACTAGCTTTTTCCTTTTATGTATTTGCCTTCTCTGGTGTAGAGAAACTTAGCTCCCATTATTCTTAATATATTTTACTAATTAGATCAATCCTTCTGGATGTAACAGATCTCCTATCTCTGTTGTCACTCCCTATCCTTGTTCAGATTCCCTCTTCTGCTTAGTCTCCAAGTTCCCACTCTAGGAATAGTTTTTCAGTTTATCATGGTCTTTCATGATCAACTATTGTCTACTCGTATTTAACTCTTTGCACTGGGAGACAACTCATGGGTCATCTGCCAGCAACTTGACTGCACTTTTTAATGAAATAGTGAATAAAACAAATCACTTCATTTTAAGTAGCATAGCATTAGAACCAATTATTTTGTTGCAACGATATTTGGTTTATAGTGGAATTTTGAACATTGAGGAACTTATTTATGACAAAAAAAACAAAATTTTATATTTTTCTAACATGTGAAACAGTCACCAACTTGCATTGCAGGTTCATTGATATGTGTTGTGTAGTAGTAATGTGACATTTTCCACCTGGTGTTTTTCTATTTGATTAGACAATAGTCTTGTTTTCTTCCTCCTACATTTATAATATGTAATTTATTGTTCAATCTGTTGTTTGAAGACGATGTGGAAGGATGCACTTGTGATTCCTGAAACCATTCTCAACCAATTGATCATATCTCAGTATATATTCCATCTCTTTATTTGTTTTTTCATGCAATTTGAATAGAAAACTTCAAGGAAATATATATATATATATTTTTTTTTTTTTTTGAATTGGAGTCTCACTCTGTCGCCCAGACTGGAGTGCAACGGCCGCTCCTGACCACCGCAGCCTCAACTTGCTGGGCTCCGGCAATCCTTCCGCCTCAGCCTTCCAAGTAGCTGGAACTGCAGGCGTGCACTACCACGCCCGGCTAATTTTTTGATTTATTGTAGAGTTGAGGTCTCACCAAGTTGCCCAGGCAGGTCTCGAACCCGTGGGCTCAGGCAATCCACTCACCTCAGCCTCCCAAGGTGCAGGATTACAGGCTAAGCCACTGAGCCTGGTGGAAACATATATTTTTGAGAAATTTACCCTGGCATAAGTTTGTCCTGTGTAATCACCAGCAGTTAGTTTATGTCCCCTGAGAGGGAACATCTGTGTGGTTTACTAGATTTAAGATGCCCCCGCAGAGGGGACATCCGAGTGCAAAGGGTTAAGAATAAATAATAAATAAAAAGCTGACTGGGAACTCTGTTTATGTTGGTAGGACTTATAGAGTTTTATATTGGAATTATTAGGTCAAGTTGCACCTTGAGGGACTTCTAAATTTCTCAGTAATTACTGCTCAGAGAAACTAGCATTCATCCATAGTAGCTGGGTATATAAAATATGAACCAAAACAGAGGAAGACACAAAATCCAAGAAATAGTGGAGCCAAATATGTAACAAATTTAAGGAACAAATGGTCTAGACCAAACATGAGAGAAAAACTCTAGGGGGTATCTGGGGGGCAAAGTAATATGGTTTACAAACTGAAATAATTTCCTCAAACTAGTTTTATTTTTGTAGATTAATCTTTTTTGTGTGTGTTGGGAGAAAAAATTGCCTGTCTGCTTAGCATTTTGTCTCAATTATTGTGGTTGATAATGGGTATCAGCTCCTCCACATAGAAATTGAATAATTTTTGTTTTCAGCTCTACATTTCATTGAACCCACCTTTTCTGAATTTCTGGCCTTTGTGTAATTCTATAGAGCAGCTTGCTATCTCATTTATAGCTCCTTTTAGTTCTCTAGGCTTCTTCCCCTTCTTGACTTTATAAGCTATATGTCTGCTTTCAGAAATTTATTAAAATGTTCTGCTGCTTTCTTCACTGTGTTGACATTTTCATCTGCAAACAGAAATCCTCTCTAAAATTGACTTATAAATTAAGAAAAAACTGCTTTTTGTAACAAGTTCTGGGTTGATTAATCTAGCAGTTTGATGAATCCAGCAAAGATTCAGGTCATTTTCATCTTTCTCCTCTTCTATCTTTGTCATACTTTTTTTTCTTGTCTCATTGGTTATGGGTATCACATCCTTATTAAAAAACATTTTAAGTCTCCAATAGGCCATTCCTTCTTTATGTTTTTTTTTTTGTGAACAAATGAAACCTTCCCAGAAAGGTTTTTCTCTTAGTGTGTAATTGTAAGTGATTAGATTTACTATAAAAGGACTATCGCTAGACCTTTGCCTCTTTGAGCAGTAGCATTAGGTGTCCTACGCAGAGTCTGTGTTTATACGTGATTTTCCAGATAACTTGATTGTACTTAGTATTTGAGAAGTACTGGTCTAGACTAGTCAAGATTTAACCCCCTGGGGGCTGAGAGAAGCCACACTTGTAAAATGCAGGATTTTAGAATATTTGAACAAAATCTGGGTACTCTAAGAAAGGAAGGAGAGGAATGGACAATGAGGGATTGTTTGTTGGTTTGACAAACAATAATGTCTTGCCATACTCCCTTTTCTTTGTCTTTTTGGTTGTAGTTGTATGTGTAATGTCTTTTCTTTTTTTAAGCATTCTTGTAGAAGGAAGAAAAGATGAATGGGACTATGGCTAGTCTGCTATCTTGAACAGGAAATATGATATTGTTTTTCTTTCATTGAATGCTATATAGTATTAATTATATGATCTTGTAATCTAAAATCCTATACTTAAAGAAGGTAAAAATACTTAATCTTCATTTTAGAGTATATTCATTTTCTGTTGTTCCATATAGTATTAGCACAAAAACTTAGCAGCTTAGAATAACATACGTTTATTATCTCATAGTTTCTGTAGTTTTAAAGTATAGGTGTGGCTAGCTGGGCCCTCTGCAATGTTGTAATGAAGGTATTTACCAGGGTTGTATTCTCATCTGGGGAAGGATCTATTTACAAACTATGTAGTTGTTGGCATCATCCTGTTATTGCCATGTGGTTAGAGTAAGGGCCTCAATTTCTTGCTGCCTGTCAGCCAGAGACCTTCAGTTGCTTGCTTGTGGTCCTTTTTATAGGCCAGCTTGTGACAAAGCTTGTGTCTTTAAAGCCAGCAAGGGAGAGAGTATCCTAGCAAGATGGGCATTACAATCTTATGTAATTACATACAATCCCTCATCTTTGTCATATTCTATTGGTTGGAATTCAGTCACCTGTCACATGTCACACTCAAGGGGAAGGAATTAACACAAGGATGTAAATATCTGGCAGGGGGTGGGATCATGGGGACTACCTCAGAATCTGTCTGCTACAAAGGATATACATCTGATTGTGAGAAATTGATGGCGTGAATTATGCATTGTATTTCTGTTGAGGCTTCCACTTAATAGCTGTATTGTGCTCTATACTAAAGTATTCAAGAAATTTACTGATGTAACTAAATAGTATTTAAAATCATTGAGACAAGGGTTGACAATATCTCTGTAGTATTAAACAATGTTGCTAAATAGATTCTTTAGTTTTAAGTTTATTAATACAGTTTATAGTGTTTCATGAATTAGATTTTAGACACTTTCTTTTTCTCCCCTTTTTAGTTGACTATATTGTGGAGTATGACTATGATGCTGTACACGATGACGAATTAACTATTCGAGTTGGAGAAATCATCAGGAATGTGAAAAAATTACAGGAGGAAGGATGGCTAGAAGGAGAACTAAATGGGAGAAGAGGAATGTTTCCTGATAATTTTGTTAAGGTAAGTATTTTCAGTTAAATTTCTAGCTATTCCTATGTGGAATTTAATCTTTAAATATTAATAAATAGATATATTTTAAAATTAAAGTGGTTTAGGTAACATTTTCACTCTGTTGAATTTAAGAAAATAGACTCTGAGTACCTCTCATTGTTGCTTTGTGTCCTGCTGGATAACACTGTATTTATATGTTTGTATATGTTTGTGTGTATCTACCTGTCTACTTTTTAAAATACATAATAGTTTGCAGTTGGGTGACATTATGTTATTTATAAAGCAACTTTGCTGTAGATATTCTCATTTGAGCCTATGGTATCCTTGTGAAAGAAGTATGATGGTAATAGCTGCATTTGAAATATGGTGACATTTTGGCTGGACTTGGTGTCTCAGCCTGTAATCCTAGTACTTTGGGAGGCCGAGGCGAGTGGATTGCCTGAGCCCGTGGGTTCGAGACCAGCCCGGGCAACTTGGCAAGACCTTGTCTGTATAATAAATAAAAAATTAGCCGGACGTGGCAGCATGTGCCTGTAGTTCCGGCTACTTGGAAGGCTGAGGTGAAAGGATTGCCGGAGCCCAGTAGGTTGACACTGGGGCAGCCATGAGTGTGCCACTGCACTCCAGCCTGGGCAGATGGAATGAAACTCCAGCTCAAAAAAAAAAAAAAATTAGTGACATTTAGGCTGAGAGGTTAAATGATTTTGTCCACTGTTGGGTAGCTAATAAAGCATAGAATCTGAACCGAAGTCTGATATAGTTGCCTCACAGGTCTTTTCATTATATTTTGTTGCTCTTTCAGCAGCAAAATGTATTAGATCATGCTTTCAGAGTTTCAGCAATTACAGCATTTATCTGCCAAAGTAGCAATTACCCTTCACCTACCAAGAAACATACCTTTTAAAGTAAATATTTTAGTCACCTCTGCCAGAAAACAATTAAGACTCTTAAACCCATTACAAACTAGTAAAAATCTTAATAGTTTAGAGAAGGAAAAACAGTAAGCCCTGTATATTTACACATTGGTTATAATTGTCTTGTTTTCTTTCTTTCTTTTTAAGTTGGAGTCTCACTCCGTTGCCCAGTCTGGAGTGCAGTGGCATGCTCACAGCCACCCCATCGTCGACCTGCTGGGCTCTGGCAGTCCTTGCAATTCTGCCCTCCAAGTAGTGGGAACCACAGGCTCGCACTGCCTCGCCTGGCTAATTTTTTGATTTATTGTGAAGACAAGGTCTCACCATATTGCCCAGACTGGTCTCAAACCTGCGGGCTCAGGCAGTACACTTGCCTTGGCCTCCTAAAGTGCTGGGATTACAGGCTTGAGCCACCGTGCCCGGCGTTTTCTATATATTAGTTCTTTTTATATCCTGCCTCATCTTCTGGCCTCATGAGATTATCATTATGAGTTCTTTTAGGAAGGCTACATAGAGTGTGTGACTCACTTGCTTTTCCAGTGTGCATAGTAGTTGTTAACAGAATATCTTTATAGCTTGGATGTTTAGTTAATATTCTTTGGATTCATTTGTGTTTATTTTAGTTGTAGTTTCACCTTAAAGTTTGAACACATTGATTCTGAGTATCTAAGAGGGATTGTTTTTCAGGAATCCATGTGGAGATCAAAGTTTGCAGATGTTCAAGTCTGTTATATAAAATGACGTAGTCCTTCTTGCATATAACCTACACACATCTTCTCCTATACTTTAAATAGTATATAATACAGTGTGTTATATAAATTGTTGTTTGTTTTGTCCACGACTGGTAAATCTGCAGATGTGGCACCTGTAGGTACAGAGTGCTGACTATACTTCATCCTGTTACAAGTATACCTTTGAAATACTACTGCGAGTTCAGTTCTAGACCACAGTAAAGCGAATTTTGCCATAAAGTGAATTATGGCCATAAAAACAAATTGCATGGATTTTTTGGTTTCCCAGTGATCTAAAAGTTATATTTACACTATACTGCAGTCTATTAAGAGTGAAATAGCATTATATCTTTTAAAAAAAGTGCGTACCTTAATTTTAAAATATTGCTAAGCACACTACCAATTGTCTGAAACTTCAGCAAGTGCTTCACCATATTTTTGCTGCTGGGAGATCTTAAATATGGACCCTAAATATTGATAGCTACTTACTGATAATGTGGGGATTGCTGAAGGTTTGGGTGGTTATGGCAGTTTCTTAAAATAAGGTAACAGTGAAGCTTGATGCGTTGATTCATTCTTCCTTTCATGAAGGATTTCTCTGTACCATGTGATACTCTTTGATAAAATTTTTCTTTTTTTTTGAGTTAGTCTCACTCTGTTGCCCAGACTGGAGTGCAGCGGCATGCTCGTAGCCACCACAGCCGTGACATGCTAGGCTTAGGTGATCCTTACACCTCAGTCTTCCAAGTAGCTGGAACTACAGGCATGTGCCACCACACCTGGCTAATTTTTTTATTTGTTGTAGAGATGAAGTCTCACAAGTTGCCTAGGTTGGTCTCGAAACCATGAACTCAGGCAGTCCTCTCACCTTGGCCTCCCAAAGTGCTGGGATTATAGGCATCTGCTTTGCCCGGCCTCTTTGATAGAATTTTCCCCACAATAAAACTTACTTCAAAATTGGAGTCCGTCTTTGCCAATACTTTATCAACTGAGTTTATGTAATATTCTTAATCCTTTCTTGTTCTTTTAACAATGTTTATAGCATCTTCGCCAGGAGTAGATTCTATATCAAGAAACTACTTTATTTACTCATCTATAAGAAACAGCACCTCATCTGTTCAATTTGATCATTGGATTGCAATGATTCAGTTACATCTTGAGGCTCCGCTTGTACTTCTTATTCTCTTGCTATTTTCACTGTATCTGCAGTGACTTCTTTCTCTGAAGTGTTGAATCCCTCAAAGTCATCCATGAATGTTGATATCAACTTGTTCAAACTCCTGTTAATGTTGGTGTTTTGACTTCTTCCTATGAATCATGAATGTCCTTAATGGCATTTGGAATGATGAATTCTTTCCAGAACGTTTCGATTTACTTTTTCTAGATCCATCAGAAGAATCATTATCTATGACAGTTGTAGCCTTATGAAATGTATTTCTTAAATAATAAATTCTTGAAAGTTGAAGTGACTCCTTGATCCATGGACTGCAGAGTGGATATTATGTTAGCAGGTATGAAAGCATTAATTTTCTTGTTCATCTCCAACAGAGTTCTTGGGTGACGAGATGCATTGTCAGTGAGCAGTAATATTTTGACAGGTATATATTTTTCTGAGCAGTGGTTCTTAACAGTGGGCTTAAAATATTCAGTTAACCATATTGTAAATAGATGTGCTGTGACCCAGGCTTTGTTGTTCTATTTATAGTGCACAGGCATAGTAGATTTAGCATAATTCTTTTTCTTTTTTTTTTTTTTGAGTTGGAGTCTCACTCAGCCTTGACCTGCTGGGCTCCGGCGATCCTTCCGCCTCAGCCTTCCAAGTAGCTGGAACTACAGGTGCGCGCTACCACACTCGGCTAATTTTTTAAAAAATTTATTGTAGAGATGAGGTCTCACCTGCCCAGGCGGGTCTCGAACCTGCGGGCTCAGGCAATCCACTCACCTCAGCCTCCCAAGGCGCGGAATTACAGGCTGAGCCACCGAGCCCAGCTAGCATAATTCTTTTAAGAATGGTAAATGAGTGTTGGTAACGTAAGTACCAGCTACATTATCCCTTAACAAGAAAATCTGCCTGTACTTTGAACTTGAAGCCAGGCATTGATTTCTCCTCTCTAGCTATGAAATTTCTAGGTAGCACCTTCTTTTAGTAGAAAGCTATTTCATCTTCATTGAAAAATCTGTTTAATGAGTCCATCAATTCTCTTAGCTAGATCTTCTGAATAATTTGCTGTAACTTCTCCATAAGCACTTACTGCTTCACCTTGTATTTTTATGTTATGGGGATGTCTTTTTTTTCCTTAAACCTCATGAACCGACCTCTGCTAGCTTCAAACATTTCTTCTGCAACTCCATTGCTTCTTGCAGCCTTCATAAATTGAAGAGAGTTAGGGTCTTGCTCTGGATTAGATTTTGGCTTAAGGAAACATTGTATATTAACAGTAAGGCTGTTTCACTTTCTTATCATTTGTATGTTCACTTCAAGAGCTTTTCTTTCATATTTGCAACTTGCCTGTTTGGTGCAAGAGGCCTAGCTTTTGGCCTATCTCAACTTTCAACACTGCCTTTATCACTAAGCTTAATCATTTCTAGCTCTTGATCTAAAGTGAGAGGTGTGCGATTCTTCCTTTTACTTGAGCACTAGAGACTGTTTCATACAAAGTTTGTTGAGCTAAGTCTCTGGGCTTCTTTTCACGTGGTGGCACAATCTTCTAGGCTGCTAGTTCAGTCTTTTGGTGAGTTCTAGTCAACTTGTGCTTCTGTGATTATTGAAGCAGGGCAAGAGAGCACAGAAAATCACGTTCTAGTTTTAAATGCTTTCCTATGAAAATAGTGCATATTCCTTCTGTTTGCAGTTCATTGGCCAAATCAATGATGTAGTTACATGTGCCATCAAAGAGCAAGAATATATGATCTTGTTATGTATCTTTAAAAGGGTAGCGGAACTAGAAACAATTAGTGAGTGTTAGTAATGTCTACCACACCAAGTACATGTGTTGACTGGTACTGTATTCATGAAATCCTTTTCATCAGTGATGGTGTAATGTATACTTTCTTTACCTGATTTTAGAGCCTCTGGTTTGAGAAGAATCTGAACTGGTTACAATAGGGCAGTGATATAGAAAGTGTTATACAGAGATGATATCAGATAAAATAAATTTTCCCACTTATGTATTTCTCCTTTTTTCCAATGTGAATGAGAAATGGTGTTTACAGAATGGGCAGTGGAGGCTGAGATTTTTAGTGCAGAGGAATCAAGATTTAAATAGGAAAGTTGTAGGCAATTAACTATGTTATTCCTTATTAAACTTAGATCATAGTTTATGATTTTATGTTTAGTATGACACTTCTTTGTATCAGTTCTGTA